TTTATAAATTGTTATTTTGTCATATCTTGCCCTGTTCAACGTCTTCCTTCACCCACTTTTCTGTTGTCCGTCCCCCAGGGCTTCTGAGGTTTTAAAGACTTGTCTGAAAACAAGCACTCATCTAAGTGAAGCATCAACTAAGTCCACATGAAAGACATATTCCACCCAGAGTTTAATTCTGAACACCCAGGTTTACAGAAGGCTATGGACAGTGGAAGCCAAAAATCCATTTGCAGGACCCCCACACGGATTTGAGCGTGTGGTGAATTCCCTTTGGCCATAGTCCAAGAATGTGCATGTGAATAGCCTTGCTATCAGAGAGAAAAGTAAAGTCTATTAAGGAATAAAGTTAAGTTAAACTGTAGCACTTTATCATTTAATCTCTCTTTTAAAGTTGTTCAAAAGTGGTTAATATTTTCTGCTTTCTTTTTAATTGAGGTTTTTCTTTGTTTTGTTATTTGCTTCCTGTTTGAGCTTTGTATGATTTTCTGCATGTGAAATCCAGATCAGGTAAATCTATAAAAACAGTAATTTGATTAATAATTACTCAGGTACATGGTAACCAGACTTTCTATTCCTGAAAGGAGTATTAAGTCTCAGAAACCACAGGGGTAGTTCTACTCTGTCCTAAGGCTGCTATGGCTCAGAATCAACTTGATGGCCTGAGTTTTCTTTTGGGTGTGTAAGGGACATGGCAAGGGAGGTCAGGGGAAATGGAAAGCTAACAATGAGTATGAGACGAAAATGTTCTGAAGTTGATTGTGGTGATGACTGCACAACTCTTATTAATATGACTGAATGATTAAATGGTAAGATACGTTAATTTTAGAAAATTGCCAAAGGAAAAAGAAAACGCTAACAGGATTTTATTTTGGGAATGTTTTGCTTCCCCACAGAACTTTAGAGTAAAAATCTTATGATCACTAGTCACTCAGGCTTTTAGGTAATCATACAGAAGCTCAAAAAGTTATCCTACTAAGTGTTCATTTCTGCACTTATGCTGTGAAAGTAGGACACTGAATAAGGAAGACTGAAGCAGCCATGCTTTTGAGTTATGTTGTTGGTGAAGAGTAGTAAAAGTACCTCGGATGGCCAAAAGAACCAACAAATGTGTCATGAAAGAAGTACAGCCAGCCCCTCTCTCCCCCCAGAATTCACTTCAGAGGACAGTACAGAAACTACAGCTCAGGGAGGGGGGCACATCTGATAAGAGCACACAGGAGCAAATGAAGGAGAGGGAGTGGAACACATCCTGGCCCACCAAGCCTTGAGGATGATATTCCTGCTCAGAGCAGCCAATGCAGAGAGGACCATGGGACTGGCCCCACTAGGAGACACATCTCTCACTGACCCACAGTCTTACAGGGGACAACACTGGAGGCAGAGTGCAGGAATTGTGCCTGATCTGATCCCACCACACCAGGGCGAAATGCTAACGGTGTGCAACAGAGCAGTAAGGGTAGACTTTGGGGCCAGGGTACCCCATCAGACTCAACCAGGAAAACACTCCTAAAGGTCAACAAACAGACCTGGTACTATATATAGGCTTTTCTCTTTTTGTCATTGGTTTTGTTGGTGTTTTGTTTTCTTTTGCTCTGTCTTGTTTTTGTGATTATTGTCTCTGCATGTCTATCTAGATAAGATAGGCAGGATAAACAATCTGGAGAGGAGAAAACAAGACTGATGGTTCCAGGGGGTACACAGGAGAGGGGGAAGCAGAGGAAAGGTAGGGGGTGTCAACCAACCCAGGGAAAGGGGAACAACAAGTGATCTAAAATCGATGGCGAGGAGGGTATAGGATGACTGGTGGGGCTTGATCAAGGACAATGTAGCCGAGAGGAATTACTGAAACCCGAATGAAGGCCAAACATGATAGTGAGTCAAGAGGAAAGTAAAAGTAAATAGGAAAGAACTAGGAGGCAAAGGACATCTACTGAAGTCTAAATATGTTGTGTACATATGTAAATATATTTATATAGCGATGGGGAAATAGATATATGTACATGTGTTTTTATATTAAAGATTAAGGTAGCAGACAGACATTGAGCCTCTACTCAAGTCTCCCTCAATGCAAGAACACTTTGTTCTAATAATCTGGCATTCCGTGA